TACGAACAAAAGTAAGAGAAATTTAGGATAAGAATACGAACATGTTCTTGCATGAGGCCCATTGTTTCTAAAGATAAACTTAGTCTAAAGCTGAAAGACAGCAGGTGATCCTTCAAGGCTTTTATATATGCTCAGTTTTTGTTCTTCTGACTCGGCTCATGTTCGTTGCTACAGTCTTTAGCTGATTGTGATCTAAATACACGCATGAACTCTCAGTCTGGCCCCCCTCGTATCCTAAATGCTTTGCAGTCTGAACATTTTTCTGTCCCAGTCCTCGATGTAGGACGTCCTGTTGACCTGATGTGACCACATACAGGCAGCACGAGCGTCTCAGGATGAAAATACATCAGATGTTTATTAGAAAACAAAAGACTGTAATTGAGAAGTCACTGGCTCGAATCCCTTCATTGCTATGACAACAACTGGGTGGAAAAGGTGAAGCTTCCACACCTGCCTCCACCCTCATTTGTCCCAGTCTGGACCCCGCATCTGTTCCCCCTCCCACCTTAGAGAGTAGCCTCCAGTTCCACACATGTGGAGCTATTATTGAGAAGCTGCTCTGGTCAGTTTCAATGTTTCTTTAGAAATTTTCTAGCTAAAAAAAACTCTAGACACTAACCGATAGAGAACACACACTTATTTTAATCAAAGCTACTCACGTTAAGATAGAGTTGATCGGCCCAGTGTCCGATGACCCTGTACTCTGCCTGGGAGCTGTTGTTAATCTGATACTGGAAGATGTCGTAGCGTCCAGGAGCGTCTCCATTCTCGTTAAAGGTCACCGGAGTCGCGGCGCTTCCTGCAGACACCAAACATCCTCAGTCACTGACTTGAACAAAGAAACAACAGAAGGTAAACAAGATTTCTTTTTAAATCATAAATTGTCTTTTTTTTCATGGCATTTTTCTATTTTTTTGTCCACTCATCGCAGTTTTGTCATTGATTTATCAACCACCATCATATTTACTAAATCACCCATCTAAAGAAAAGTTTGTCTGTTTATTTTACCCTTAAATAATTTAAATTAAATCATTTGGTTTGGTGTCAGGAAAAGTGAGAGGATGTTCTTGCTATTATTGTCTTTCTGAAGCAGATATTTCAAATCTCTTCTTATGTCTCTGCTGAAAGAAGAGTTCAGGAACAGTAAACCAACATCAGTTCTGTTTTGTCACTAAATTCTATCTTCAGCCATTAGATTGCAACTAGATTCTAAATACAGGCTTGAATTAACCCAATGCACATTGAAACTATCTTCATTTAAAGCAGGTTTGGAGGTGGTTTGGACCGTTTCCTCTTCATACGGTTGGTTGGTAGTCTGAGCACAATCTGAGCTGAGCTGTGGGACAAAACTGACCACAAGCAGCAGAACCAACATCTCGGGGTTAAAGAAAAATTTCACTCATTTATCAGCTGATTAAAGGTTAATAAACAACCATCCTAAGTATAATTAAGTTAACCTATTTTTATTTTTTATTCTGTTTTCTGTTTATTAAAGTCATCAGTTTTAACAGGAATTTATTAGTTAATGTGGATAATAAAACGTTGTATGAATGAGTTTTTTTATGATTTAAAGTTTGTTGACTGCCTGCTGTGGTCACTCTTTTTGTGTAATGTGCAACAATTTGAGCAGCATCACTGTATTCATTTAATGAAGCACATCTTTGATGTTAAATTAAAAACACAGGTGCATAAATTATTGCAGTAAGATCTCCTTACGTGGAGCTCCGTAAGTCAGTAATCATAAATATATTTTTAGATAATTAAATCATCAAGTAATAACTCTTTAAAATGATACTGTCGTGGAAATATTCCACCTGGCAGAAATAGGGGAATAAACAAAGTGAAATTGTGTGGTCTGGTCTTTAGATAATTTCATAGAAGTGCATACATGCGAGAAAGGTGAATGAAAATGACAGAGTCAATCAGGCAGCTCTGTCAAGTTTGCACTCAACATGGAAATGGATATATACATGGGTAAAATAGTAAGTATTGAACACGTCACCATTTTTCTCAGTAAATATATTACTAGAGGTGCTAATGACATGAAATTTTCACCAGTTGTTGGTAACAACCCAAGTGATCCATAYATACAAAGAAATCAAACCATAAATGTCCAGAAATGAAGTTATTTGTAATAATGTGGAATGGCACAGGGRAAAAGTATTGAACATATGAAGAAAGGAGGTGTAAAAAGGCATGGAAGCCAAGACACCAGCTGAACTCTCTCAGTAATTAGAAAGCAAGCCTGCCCCTTGTCAGTGCAAGTTAATATCAGCTGGTTCAGTCCCAAATGATGGCCAGGTATCACACAAGAACCATCTGATGATGGGTAAAAGTAAAGAGCTCTCTCAAGACCTTCACAACCTTATTGTTGCAAAGCATAATGATGGCATCGGTTACAGAAGAATGTCTAAACTTCTGAAGGTTCCAGTGAGCACTGTTGGGGCCATAATTCAGAAGTGGAAAGAACATTATTTCACCATAAACCGACAACGACCAGGTGCTCCTCACAAGATTTCTGAAAGAGGAGTGAAAAGAATTATCAGAAGAGTTGTCCAAGAGCCAAGGACCACTTGTGGAGAGCTTCAGAAAGACCTGGAATTAGCAGGTACGTTTGTTTCAAAGAAAACAATAAGTAATGCACTGAACCACCATGGCCTGTATGCACGCTCACCACGCAAGACTCCACTGCTGAAGAAACAGCATGTTGAAGCTCCTTTAAAGTTTGCTGCACAACATTTAAACAAGCCTGTGTAATACTGGGAGAATATAGTCTGGTCAGATGAGACCAACATTGAACTGTTTGGATGCCAGAATACACATCATGTTTGGAGGTCAAATGGCACTGCACATCAGCCCAAAAACACCATACCAACAGTGAAGTTTGGAGGTGGGAACATCATGGTGTGGGGCTGTTTTTCAGCATATGGTACTGGCAAACTTCAAATAATTGAAGGAAGGATGAGTGGAAAAATGTACAGAGACATTCTTGATAAAAATCTGCTTCCATCTACCAGGATGATGAAGATGAAACGTGGCTGGACATTTCAGCAAGACAATGAGCCCAAACACAAAGCCAAGGAAACTCTCAGTTGGTTTCAGAGAAAGAAACTAAAGCTGCTGGAATGGCCCAGCCAATCACCTGACCTGAATCCAACAGAAAATCTATGGAAAGAACTAAAGATCAGAGTTCATAGAAGAGGTCCACAAAACCTTCAAGATTTGAAGACTGTTTGTGGAAGAATGGGCCAAAATCACACCTGAGCAATGCATGCCACTAGTTTCTCCATACAGGAGGCGTCTTAAAGCTGTCATTGACAACAAAGGCTTTTGTACAAAGTATTAGATAAATTTCAGTAAGTGTGTTCAATACTTTTTCCCCTGTGCCATTCCACATTATTACAAATAACTTCATTTCTGGACATTTATGGTTTGATTTCTTTGTATGGATCACTTGGGTTGTTACCGACATCTGGTGAAAATTTCATGTCATTAGCACCTCTAGTAATATATTTACTGAGAAAAATGGTGACGTGTTCAATACTTATTTTACCTGCTGTATAAACATCCGGTGTAGTTTGTAGGCAGCCAATCACAGGATGACAAATGTTAACAGAGAACCAATGACAAAGCGACAACTGGTACTGAGCACTTCCGAATAAGAGTAAGGTTACAGACATCAGGGAATCATGAGAAACAGATTATATAATGGCAGTTATCAAACAGATACAGAACAGGACATGTCAAGGTAATATGCAGTTAGGGACATCATATGATATTCTTCCATCACAATCCCTCCTCTTGACTATTCGTTAATCAATAAAAACATGGAAGAAACAATTGTAAACCCATAAGTAACCATAACTGCATCAACGCCAATGTAAAAGGAACAAGCGCAAGGTAAAACAGTGCAAACAGACTCAATAAGTCAAACGTGTCAAAATTTAAAGAACTCAAGTGTCCAAAATTCAACAAGGTATCACAACACAAGTTCTGCCTCCCAGCAAATTAGCTGACATTTACCACCTATGTGCCATCAGAATCTTATCTTGGATGAAGTGTTAACTTAATAACAACAAGTTGTCAATAAATGAACCCTAAGTAATGCAAATAAATGCAAGGTAAGTTGAAGAAATGCAGAAGGCATTTACTTCCAGCAAAGAGATTGAACAAGTTCAAATAGCAAAGGACAATTGAAGACCTACAATACAAAGAGCTCTAAAGGTAGTTTCAGCAAACAACACAGTTCAAATGTCTGAATGTGTTGTCATTAGAGAAACATTATCACAGCTGCTGATGTCCTGTTTGTTGCTCACTGACAGTTCATCAGTGTGATGTAGATACAGTAAATGACTTTCAATCGTAAAATGTGCTTTGGGACAAATTACCACCAAATTTTAACAGAAGCGTCAGAGCTGACCACCTGCAGCAAAGTCTCCCAAACAACCAATATAAATGGTGATGCGTTCACTGACTTGGTTTGTTAACTCACAAGAGTGCTGCATTCACTGACTTGGTTTGTTAACACTGCAGTGCTGCATTCAATGACTTGGTTTGTTAACACTGCAGTGCTGCATTCACTGACTTGGTTTACCACACTGCAGTGCTGCATTCACTGTCTTGGTTTGTTAACACTGCAGTGCNAGTGCTGCATTCACTGTCTTGGTTTGTTAACACTGCAGTGCTGCATTCACTGACTTGGTTTAACACACTGCAGTGCTGCGTTCACTGACTGGTTTGTTAACACACTGCAGTGCTGCGTTCACTGACTGGTTTGTTAACACACTGCAGTGCTGCGTTCACTGACTGGTTTGTTAACACACTGCGGTGCTGCGTTCACTGACTGGTTTGCTAACACACTGCAGTGCTGCGTTCTCTGACTGGTTTGCTAACACACTGCAGTGCTGCATTCAGTGACTTGGTTTGTTAACACTGCAGTGCTGCATTCACTGACTGGTTTGCTAACACACTGCGGTGCTGCGTTCACTGACTGGTTTGCTAACACACTGCACTGCTGTCATTCCTGCAGGGCAAACTTAACATTGGTATTCAGGCTCTTGAACTTGAGGCTCATCAGTCTGTTGAACGCAGAGGAAGACGGCAGACTTGAGCTAAAGGGCAAAAACAACCTCAGCAACAAGAGAAAATAAAATAGATTCAAAATGAAGTGAGTGGGCGTCGGCTTGATCCTATCTTGTCCCGGTTTCCTTCTCTGGCTTGAATAAAAACACAGCAGCATAGATATTAAATCACTACAGCTCGCCTCAGGGTGGGGAATCACTCTGAACAACCACCAACTCCTCCTCTTCCTCTTATTCAACTTTTCCAATGTACTTCACTTCAGAATGTAGTTTGGCTAAATAATATTTCAAATCCACATTACATCCAAACATGAGGACCAGGATACAATCATCCATGCTGTGTCTTCTTCATGACCACCATACACAAACCAGTCACTCAACAGAAGAAAAAAAAAACAGATGTTGCACTGCCACCAGTGAAAGTTTCATTTTATCACATTTCAACCCATTCTCACGCAGAAAGATGGCAGAGCAGATTTCCATCCTGCTAATGGAGAAAAATGCAGCTGAAGGACATTGAAATGCAGAAATGTGACACAGAACCAAACGTTAGGAGACCTGTTGGCATGTTGGTGAGAATTCACCGCATGAATAATTCAAACATCTAAACCGCTATGAAGTTCAGCAGGAGTTTCTTTAATCCATGTGGTTTGAAAACTGAACTGATTTGGCTACACATCTGCACACAAACACATACGGGAGAATCAGGAATAATTGC